TGGGGCAATCTACTTCCGTAGTGATACTGTCTCGGAAACCCAAGGAGGGGTCGCTATGAGTTGGGTCCGACTCGATGGCACATAACAACAACAACAACAGTGCCTAAAGCATTTGACTGCTAACCAGAAGGTTGGTGGTTCAAACCCACCAGCCACTCCACGGAAGGAAGACTGGGCAATCTACTTCGGTAAAGATTTACCACTTTGGAAACCCAACAGGGGTCGCTATGAGTCGGAACGACTCAATGGCACTGGGTTTTGGTTTGGATGTGAGGTAAATAGGAATTAACCTGATATTATTTGAAAAACATTTTATTGGATATCATTTTACATCTAGCATATAATTGAAACTGTTATCATGGAAAAAAACTATGTTGTTGTGTGCCGTGGAGTCAGCCCCGACTCATAGTGACCCCTCCTTGGGTTTCCGAGGCAGTATCACTACATAAGTAGATTGCCCAACCTTCCTTCCAAGGAGTGGCTGGTGGGTTTGAACCGCCAGCCTTCTGGTTAGCAGTCAAGTGCCTCAGGCACTATGCTACCAGAAAAAAACTATAAGTCTATTTTAAATAAAAACAGGTTATTATGGATGACAATGTTTTGCAGAATGGGTAAACCCAGAGGCAAAACGTCTGACAAAATGATCCCTGGAGCTACAGAGGTACAGAAGTTGATCAAGATAAAAACTCCAATGGGTATGTGTGTGTACATTTGAGGTATGTTTGATTAGATAATATTTACAAAGCTGCTGGTTCTAAGATCTTGGTTGACCACCTCTGCAGAGGTTGGTCTTCTTTGTCAGGATGGCTCTAGATGACAAGATTTTGGCTTACTGTAAGTTTCCTCAAACAACTTTAAAATACAGATACAGGGTGTTGGAAAGGGGTGAGTGTCTAAGGGCATTTTCTGAGAATCAGTCCACCACCAAAGTCACATATTTCTGGCACATTAGATCACTAGACCAAGGGAGTGATAATGGAATTATATTTGCACTGGTGCACTCTCCTAAAATATGAAAGCAAAGAGTGTGTTGAAAGAATAAAGTGATCACTAATGAAAATGCTAAGTATTCCTATGCTTAAAGGGACAAAAAGGGGGTTTAATACAGAAAAGCTATAAGCTTGTCTCTATTTAACATTAGGATCTCTGGTGGCATAGTGCCTAAGGCATTTGACTGCTAACCAGAAGGCTGGTGGTTCAAACTCACCAGCCCCTCCTCAGAAGGAAGATTGGGAAATATACTTCTATACTGATACCTCCTTGGAAAACCAAGGAGGGGTCAGTCGCTATGAGTTGGATCCGACTTGATGGCATTGAGTTTGGTTTGGTTTTGGTATTTAACATTAGTGTATTGTAACTATGAGTGCATTACTCTGAAGCTTAACCACAATTTGTTCCTTTAGCACCTATATAAGCCAGCAAAATCACATTTTTCTGTAGAAGCTGTTTGTATCCAAGTTAAGGGTGAAATGGAAATTTATCAGAGGTGCCAGGCTGCACTGGGAAACAAAACGGAGTCACTTAAGACAAGCTTAGACCTTAGCCAGAGGTCTTTAGTCATATCAAGGCCTTAGTTTCAAAATACGCCTACTTTAAACACAGTACCATTCCTCCTTTTAGACTACAGTTCTGCAAGTTTTGACAAAGGCATATAGTTGTCATGTAGCAACTATCACAATCAAGATTTGGCTTCATCACTCCAAAAATTCCCATGTCTCTATGCAGTCAACCTCTACCCACCCCCCAAGTCCTGGCAACCATTAATCAGTGCTCTTTCCTCATAATAGTTTTACCTTCCCCAGAATGTTATAGATACTACCAAACCGAACCAAACTCACTGCCATTGAGTTGATTCCACCTCATAGCAACTCCCATTAGGTTTCCCAGGCTGTAAATCTTACAGAAGCCCCATCTTTCTTCTGTGGAGAGGCTGGTGAGTTCAAACCACTGATTTTTTGGTTAGCAGCCAAATGGGTTAACTACTACACCACCAGAGCTCCTTATAGATACTATGGTATGCGGTTTTTTGCATCCTGTTATTGTTTTTATCAGTAATTTATTCCTTCCTATTGCTGAGTAGTACTTCATCCTATGCATGCACCAGGAGCTCTGGTGGCTTAGTGGCTAAGGCACTTGACTGCTAACCTGAAGGATGGCGGTTCAAACCCACCAGCCACTCCTTGGAAGGAAGATGGGGCAATCTACTTCAGTAGTGATACTGCCTCGGAAACTCAAGGAGGGGGTCACTATGAGTCGGGCCAACTCGACAGCAAACAACATGAATGCACCACTATTTATATATGCACGAGTTCAAGAACATTTGTTTTCTTCTTTTCAAGTTTTCATTAATTACAAATAAAGCCTCTACAAACATTTGCATATAGTGCTTTGTGTAAACACGTATTTTCGTTTTACTTGGATTAATATCTAGAAGGGGATTGCTCTTGTAGTATGTTCAATTTCATGAAAAAGTGCTAAACTGTTTTTCAGAGTAAGTGTAAGTTTCTTTCTTTTTAATATGCAATGAGGACTTACTCTATGCCAGGAGTGGTGCTGGGAAGAATTGAGTAGTTGGTAATAATTACCTATGACCCACAAGGGTGTACATGCTATTTGTTTCCTTACAGAAAACGTTTGTTGACCCTGTAATATTACTTTTATAAGAATTTTGATGGAGAGTCCTGTGAGGTGAATGACTATAGCTAGCCATAAGTGACAGTTAACAGCACATTTATTTTATTATTTTTTGCCCATAGTATTATTTTTAATAGACTTTTAAAGGGGTAAGCACCCCAAGGAAAGTTGATGAAGTCCATGAGGTCTTTATGAAGTTGTCAGGGTTCATACGAAGAATATAATTTGACTAGACAGAGTGCAGTATGATCCATTGAACATAAACACTAAGAAAACAAGTTAAAATCAAACATGATTATTTTTATGAAATTGGATGGTTTTGTTATAAATGAACTTAAAATAAGACTATTGGATTGTTTTGTTATAAATGAACTTAAAATAAGACTTAGATCAACTATTTATTAGGAGTCAGTTCTTAATAAAAAAGTTCTAGAGAAACTACTGCAACTATCCCAAATTTTTGCTTATATGCCATTCATAATCTTATGATAAAAGAATATGCAGTTGGTTCTTTTAGGTTACACAGTAGTGTGGAAGACCAAGTAACACAGAAAACACAAAACTCTAGAGATACAGGTCTTGGGAAAAAAACTTTTCAGTTTAACTATCTACCATCACTACTTCAAATGAGCAAGGGCCTTGGGAGAACAAGAAGGGGCATTCTTGAGGGTTTGCAGGGGTAGTTAATAATAACACAATCAGAAATCTTGGAGCATTGCTTAAGCTTCTGAGCAGTTAATTTTAACAATACTATAAACGATGCTCTTCAAACGGTCAGCAATAAAGATGTTTTTACTTAAATTACTGGAAAATATTTTGTTATTCAACATATGCTCAGCATAAATTTTAACTTTTCATTTCCCCCAAATGTCAGTAAAACTTGAGCTGCATAATTACAAGTGTTAATGATGTTCCCCCAAATCACTGTATTTTCACACACTGCTGCACATATCACATAATTTTCCCTATACGTACAACCAACGTATTTTAGCAAGAAGAGAAACAAGGAGGCCGACAACGTTGTTTTACAAACTCTCGCTTGCGCATGTGTAAGCCAGCCAAAGTAACATTGGCGCCAAAAACGCGCAAGCGCGGTGGTTGCAGCGTCGGCCTTTGCGGCCTGCGGCAACGCGCGGAGGGGGCGGGGCTCGCACTCGGTGTCTTTTCCACTAACTGCGGTTTTTGGCAGCGCCATTTTGTATGTACAGCCGCCGCGGGTGTAAGGCCGGGAAGGCATTCCTGCTGGCTCCGCTACCTAGCCTTCCTCTCTCGGTGTTCGTTTCATTTCCACAGATATATATAGCTTCTTATATATCAACAGAAACATATATTCTGTGTGGGAAGCGAACGCGCTAAGATGATGTTAAGAGGAAACCTGAAGCAAGTACGCATAGAGAAAAACCCGGCCCGCCTTCGCGCGCTCGAGTCGGCGGCAGGCGAGAACGATCCAGCGTCTGCCACTGCCCTTGCGCTGGCTATGGCAGGGGAGCAGGCGCCACCCGCTGCAGCGCCAGAGGATCACCCCGAGGAGGAGATGGGCTTCACCATTGACATTAAGAGTTTCCTTAAGCCGGGCGAGAAGACTTACACGCAGCGCTGCCGTCTCTTCGTGGGCAACCTGCCCACCGACATCACCGAGGAGGACTTCAAGAGGCTCTTCGAGCGCTACGGCGAGCCCAGTGAGGTCTTCATCAATCGGGATCGCGGCTTTGGCTTCATCCGCCTGGTAAGTACCGGCCACGCGCCGCCGCCGCGCAGCATTCAGGACTCCCCTCAATGCTGCGGCTCACTCTAGTGCGGGAGGCGAACAAAGCGAGTAAACAAAGGGGTTCACTGGTTTTGGGAAGTGATGGCGCGAGAGGAAGGCAGTGGGGGAGAGAAGGGAGGGTCTTTGCGAGAGGAGATCTCCGAGTTCTAACTTCCCTTCTTCAGCCACCTCTGAAAAAGCCGTTGTGGCCTTTTTTGAACGTCGCTTTTCTGTGGCTGGGCGATACTGCAGGGGTTCGTTTCTTTCTCTTTCTGACTGCTCTATTACCTGCCAGACCTCTTTAGTTTTTATTTCGAATTATGGGCCCAGTGCGGCGGTGGTCTCCAGCGTTTTCTGTTCTTGGGCTTTGCTGTGTGGGGTGAGGCCACGCGCTAGGTGGCGTTGCCTCTGCTTGGATGGTGTAGTTACGGAGGTTTTTCTGGGCTCAGGATATCTCGAAAGGCCAGGAGGTGCCTGGAGTGGACAGCGGTTTGGGCAGGAAACTCTTCGAGGCAAAAATGTAAGGGAATGAATTGCGTTAAGATGAAAAATGTTTTAAAGAACAGAAGCGTCGGTCTTACCAGAAATTTCGTTGAGTATGATGGATCAGGGAACCTTGGCGCAGTGGTTAAGCGCCTCAGTTGAACCTACTAACTGCTTTGCTGGAGAAAAATGTGAGTCTATCTCTGTGAAGATTTATGGCCTTGGAAACCCTATGGGACAGTTCTGGTCTGTCCTGCAGCGTCTCAGTGACTCTGAATCCACTAGTCGGCAGTGGGCTTAGTCCTTCATACAGAAAACAAGAACAAAAACAAAAAAAACACCCACACCAAATCCACTACTTACTAAAAATCTACATCAACTTGGCTCCAACCAGATGTACGTACATTTCCCAGTAAATTACATTATTTCTCACCTCAGGGCAGAACCACTGTTTACCTTAAATTGTTAGTTGCCTGAATTTGTACTCCAGTTACAGTGATCAGTCTGCCATAATGGGATGGTGTTGAATTGTTACTGTTAAATATAATTCGATCTCTCCTCAACATTCTGGGGGTTTCCACGTGTTTTGTTTTTTCTTTTAAGGGAGGGTGAGGATGGAATATATTACTTTATATAATATTTAAATGTTTTAGTATTAGAATATTCTATTCGCTTTTTGATCTAAATCTTGCCAGTGATAGGATAATATCCGTACACCTACTGGGAAGGCCAGTTAATGTGAGTGCTATTCAGATTTACGCACAAACCATTAATGCCAAAGATGAAGAAATTGAAGCTTTTTACCTGCTTTTGCATTCTGAAATTGACCAAACATGCAATCAAGATACATTAATAATTACTGGTGATTGGAATGCAAAAGTTGGAAAGGAAGAGGATTATACAAAACCAAACAAAAAACAAAAACAAATGGGTCTGACTCATAGTGACCCCTCCTTGGGTTTCCAAGGTGCTATCAGTAGGGCACATAACAACAACAACAACATCAATGTCCAACCTTCCCTCCAAGGAGTGGCTGGTGGGTTTGAACCTCTAGCCTTCTGGTTAGCAGTGAAATGCCTTAGGCACTATGCCACCAGAGCTCCCCAAAGAGGATTAGTAGTTGGAAAATACAGGCTTGGTGGTAGAAACAACACCAGAGAGTGCCTGATAGAATTTGCAAGGCCAATGACTTATTCATTGAAAATACCTTTTTTTGACAACATAATTGATAATACATGTAAATCCGACCACTTCAGTATTACCTTATGAAATAAGCAGGAATCAGATTTGACTATATCTGTGGAAACGGATGATGAAGAAGCTTAGTATCTTCATTAAGTGCAAGGCCAACGCAGACTGTGGAACAGACCATCAGTTGCTCATATGCAAGTTCAAGTTGAAGCTGAAGAAAATGTAAACAAGTCCACGAGTTCCAGAGTACCACCTTCAGTATGTTGTTGTTAGGTGTCGTCATCTCACTGACTCATGGTGACTGTATACAGCAGAATGAAAAACTGGTTGTGCACCATCCTCACAGTCGCTGCTATGTTTGAGTCCATTGTCACAGCCGCTGTGTCTATCTCATTGAGGGTCTTCCCTGTTTTCGTTTACCCTGTATTTTTTACCAAGTATAATATCCTCCAGCGAATGGTCCCTTCTGACAACATGACAAAGTAGGTGAGATGAAATCTGGCCATTCTTGCTTCCAGGGAGGATTCCAACTGCACTTCTTCTAGAACAGACCTTGATATAGCCACCTGAATGTGGAGACCATTGCAAGGATGGAGTCGACTCATTGAACACTAATTACCAAAGAGCAGATGAGTTGTGGGGTAACATCAAGACATCATACGTGAGCAAAGCAAAAGTTCACTAAAAAGACAGGAAAAGACTAAAATGGAAGTCAGAAGAGACTCTGAAACTTGCTGTTGAACATAGAGTAGCAAAAGGGAATGGAAGAAGTGATGAAATAAGAGAGCTAACAAGAAGATTTCAAAGGGAGCCTTGAGAAGACAATGTAAAGTAGTATAAAAACATGTGCAAAGACTTAGTGTTATTAAACCAAAAGGGAAGAATGTGCTTGGAATTTCTCAAGTTGAAAGAGATGAAGAAAAAATTCAAGCCTCAAGCTGCAGTATTGAAGGATTCTGTGGGCAAGATAGGAGCTCTAGTAGTGTAGTACCTAAAGCACTTGACTGCTAACCAGAAGACTGGCAGTTCAAACCCACCAACCACTCCTTAGAAGGAAGGTTGGGCAATCTACTTCTGTGGTGATGCTGCCTTGGAAACCCAAAGAGAGGTCGCTATGAGCCGGGTCCGACTCAACGGCACATAACAACAACATGGACAAGATACGGAATGATGCAGGAAACATTAAAAAAAAAAAAGGATGGAATACACACTGTACCCAAAAAATTTGTCAGTATTCAACCATTTTGGAAGATAGAATATGGTAAAAAAAAAAAAACCAATGGTGTTGAAGAAGCATAAGCTATGCTGAAGATATTAGTGAAAATCTGATGATACTAGTGAAAAATAGTGCTTCTGTAATCAACAGAACACCAATGAGATATTTCAACAAACTGATGAATGATGGAAGCATTCACATGTCTATGCCAAGAAATTTGGGAGACAGCTGCCTGGAAGAGATCCATATTTGCCCATTCCAAAGAAACGTGCACCAACAGAATGTGGAAATTATCAAACCATATCATTACTATCACACACATGCAAAGTTTACTGAACATAATTAAAAAATGATTGCAGCAGTAGTACATCAACAGGGAACTGCTAGAAATGTTAGCTGGATTCAGAAGAGGGTGTGGAATGAGGGATATCACTGCTGATGTGATAAGAATCTTGGCTGAAAGCAGAGAATACCAAAAAAATGTTTACTTGTGTTTTGTTGACTATGCAGAGGCATTTGACTGTGTGAAACATAAATTATAGATAACATTGTGAAGAATGGCAACAATTGTGCTCATGTGGAACCTGTACACTAAGGGACAATCTTTGGAATAGAACAAGGAAATGCTGTGTGGTATATAAATCGGGAAAGGTGTGTGTCAGGAACTCACTAATTCATTCTTTATACTGAGCAAACACTCCAAGAAGCTGGACTACATGAAGAAGAATGCAGCATCAGGCTTGGCGAAAGACTCATTAATAAGCTTACTTGCTGAAAGTGAAGAGGACTGGAAGCACTTAATGATGAAGATAAAAGACAACAGCCTTCAGTATGGATTACACCTTAACATAAAACAAAAATCCACAATTGGGCCAACTTCATGATAAACTCAGAATAGATTCAAGTTGTCAGGGATTTCATTTTACTTGGATCCACAGTCAACACCCGAGGAAGCAGTAGTCAAGAAGGTTGGGCAATCTACTTCTGTATTGATACCACCTTGGAAACCCAAGGAGGGGTCGCTATGAGTTGGATCTGACTCAGTGGCAGTGAGTTTGGTTTTTTGGTTTACCTGTTATTCTGGTGCTTGCCAAACTTTGAGAACCTTTTCTGGAGAAACCAATGAAAAAATTAGAAGGAACTGAATTTACTTCTATATAGTCTTTGTGAACTTAGCCCCCTCCATGCTTTTTCTTTTAAGTTACGAAATGATACATACTTACAAAACATTCAAATAACATAGAAGACATTGCAGAATGTAGTTAGTGAACCTGTCTAGTATATAATATATAATTGCCAGTATCTTTTATTTCAGGTAAGTTTTTTACTCCCCCAAACACATTTTAATGTAATCATGTTAATCTTTGTGTATAATTTTTTTCACAAAAATCAAACCATACTGTATATATTGTATTGTGATTTGAATGTGCATTTAATAACTGTTTTTATATCATTAGATTTCTCTAACAATCTCATATTCCATAGTATAGATGTCCTTCAAGTTAATAAACTTTATTCTGATTGACTTGAAGGCTGTTTTCAGTTTGCATCAGTGAATTTCCTTGCATTAATTTGTTACCTAGTACCTGTCTGTCTTTTTTTTTTTTTTAATTGTTATTTGGGTGAAAGTTTATGGAGCAAATTCGTCTTCCATACAGCAGTTCTCATTCATTTTGTCTCATGACATTCATTGACTGCAGTCACCCACAGTGCAACGGCTCTCCTCCCACTTCCTCTCCATAGCCACCTCTTATTTGTGTCCTTCCCTCCGTGCTCTCCTGGCCCCCCTCCAACCTGTCTATCTGTGCATACACAGCCCTTCTAATCTTCCATCATTGGCTTAGTACCTGTCTTAAGGAAAGCTTGTGGTGCAGTGGTTAAGTGTTCAGCTGCTAACTGAAAAGAAAAGTTGGTGCTGCAGACCCCCTGCTGCTTGGCAGGAGAAAGATGTGGCAGTCTGCTTCCATTAAGATTACGCCTAGGAAACCTATAGGGCAATTCTGCTCTGTGCTGTAGGGTCATCGAGTCACAATTGACTTGTTGGAATTGGATTTAGTTTTGGTTTTGGTTTCATAACCTGTCTTAGTTT